AAATAAACCTTAGACTCAAACGTTAGAACAGGCTTTTCCCCGCAGCACGCCGTGTAATAAATACTCACAAAGAAAACAGCGGCCTTTACAACTTATGTCTAAAAATGTCTAGTTTCATGTATCTGTTAAAACACTCGACTCCAGCTACATGAGGCGCAGCTGGAAACACTTCCCGCAAGTCGAGCTGCCGGAGATTCACAGAATTTACAGAAAATGTTACATTTTTGTGATTTATATCGTTATCGGACGACAGAATTCTTATATCGGGATATGAGATTTTGGTCATATCGCACAGCCATACTTCACAGTCACCAGCTCTCAATCCAACAGAGCATCTTTGGGATGTGGTGGAATGAGAAATAACCATCTTGGATGTGCAGCAGCTTTGTGATGCTATCATGTCGATATGGACTGAAATCTCTCAGGAGTGTTTCCAACACTGTGTTGCTCTCTGCCACCAAGAATTAAGGCAGTTCTGAAGACAAAAGGGCATCCAATCCAGAAATAACAAGCTGTTCCTAATGAAGTGTCCAGTGAGTGTAGGTTATTAGGCTACAGCTACTGTTTTACATATATAAAAACACATTGACAGAGACAGTCGAACTATTATTTTAACCAGGTGAAGTTCATGAATTTCTTTAATGTTACCTTTAAGTTGTCCAGCTGATATGTCCAGACTCGCACGCTCACTAATTACAGCAGACTAAATCATTCAGCTCTGTTTTTGAGAGAGGTTAATCGTGATTCGGTGCTTTGCTGCTGGAGTTTAGCTCGTTTCCAGAAAAGCACGTTTGTCTTAATGATGCAGTCACGACTAAAGTGGCACTGTGTGCAGAAAAATAGGCATGGAAATAAAAAACCACGTTTCCAAAGTTAATCTAAAATAATCAACTATTTTTGAAAGCCTTTTATTAGTAAAGTGTTTTCAGAACATTTTAATGACTGGGGGCCACCCTGCCTTTGTTTATTTGTTTATTTGTTTATTTATAAGGAACCCCATTAGCTTCCACAACAGTGGTTGCTAGTCTTCCTGGGGCCCAAACCATCAAATACCACCGAATAAAATGTTACACAATGAGTGGGATGCAAAATATCCACATAATGTGGCTCTTACATCCACAATAAGGTTTTACAATTCTGAAAATATAAGCATGTAAATATTAAAAATTATAAAAAAA